GATGTTTGGAGAATGAAGAACTCCAAAGCTGAGCGGAAAATGCCGCTTGGGGAGACACCGGGGGATCCTGGTGGCGGCTGCTGACAGAGGCAGCCTGGAGGAGCAGAGCCCTGTGTCCCCTTGGACACCAAAGTGGGGAGTCCAGAGAGGGGGAGAACCACAATTTACGGGACCCTCAACAACCTGGAGAGGGGCAGGGGGGACTCCTTGGAGCCCCTGCACCCCAAAGCAGAGTTAAGGGGAGAAGGGACCATGGGAATCCAAAAAGCCCCATCATCCCTAAATGAGGATATGGAAATGGGAGGAACTTTTTGGATTTCTGGCACTCCCAGCAACCTGGGGTGGGCAGGGACAGACAGAGCAGACAGGGGACCCCCAGTACAAGCGTGACCTGCAGCAGCTGAGACAGGGAGGAACCCCTGAACAGCAAAGGGGAGAGAGCAGAGATGGGGAACTTCTGGGAGGCATTTTCAGGGCTGCATCTTGGTGTTTGGGAGGTTTTTATGGGCCCCAGATGCCCAGTGACTTCTAGAGATGGACTCGGGTTGAGGGACCTTCAAACTGAAAGTACTCTTCCCCTGTTTTACCCAAACCAGGATTTCCTATTCCCAAGTCTTGGCCAGATGGAGGAGGCTGCCGTGAGGAAGAGGAAGATGTCCCAGGACACCTAGGCAGGTGAGGAGGAAGTCAGTGCCCCTTTCCCCTTCTCCTGCTCCATCTCCCAGCCCAGCATGGCTCCCGGCTGCAGAACAACCCCACTGCCGATGCTGTCCTGCCCGGGACGTACTGGGGGGGGGATCTCCTTCCCTCTGGCACGGAGGCAAATCCCATCCTCTCCTTGTCCTTCCTCCCCCAGACAAGGAGCTGAGGATGGAGACCAGGGAGGACAACTCCCCACAGCAGAACCTCGTGGAAGAGGCCGTTTTGAGCAGCTCCACAGTGCAGGAATCCAATGGGGAGGAAAAGTTTCAGAGATCCCGCAGGAGGAGGGGCTCCAAACCCATTCTGGGGTGCTCTGAGGAGGAAAGCCTCACCCTGTGCCAGGAAGGAGGCCGGAGATCCAGCCGGGGCTCTGAGCTGATGGTCCATGAGCAGCTCCAGGATGGGGAGAAGCCCTACAAGTGCTTGGAGTGTGGGAAGAGCTTCAGCCAGAGCTCATTCCTGATCCGCCACCAGATGATCCACACTGGGGAATGGGCCTACAAGTGTGGGGAATGTGAGAAGGGCTTCAGCTGCAACTCCGAACTTATCCGTCACCAGCGCATCCACACTGGGGAGAGGCCCTACAAGTGTCCTGAGTGTGGGAAGAGATTTCGGAGGAGCTCTACTGTCCTCGTGCACCAGCGGATTCACACGGATGAGAGGCCCTTCCGCTGCCCTGACTGTGGGGAGGGCTTTAAGCGAAACTCCACCCTCATCACCCACCGGCGCATCCACACTGGGGAGAGGCCCTACAAGTGTGGAGAATGTGGGAAGAGCTTCACCCACAGCTCTTGCCTCATCCGCCACCAGAGGACTCACACTGGGGAACGTCCCTATGAATGTGGGGAATGTGGGATGACCTTCAGCTGGAGGTCCCAACTGACCATCCACCAGATGATCCACACTGGGGAGAGGCCCTACGAGTGTCCCGAGTGTCAGAAGAGGTTTCAGACCAGCTCCAATCTCCTTGTGCACCAGCAGATTCACACAGATGAGAGGCCCTTCCGCTGCCCCGAGTGCAGGAAGGGCTTCAAGCGAAACTTCCACCTCATCACCCACTGGCGCATCCACACTGGGGAGAGGCCCTATCAGTGTCCCCAGTGTGGGAAGAGCTTCTTCCGGAGCTCTCACTTGACCAGACACAAACAGAGGCACCAGTAAGGGAAGCCCTGCGAGTGCCCCAAGTGCAGGAAGAGCTTTGTGCGTTGCTCCAGCTCCATTCCCCCATCAGAGGACCCACATTGGGCAGAGCCCTGATGACCCACGTTCCCAGTGATCTGTGTTGGGAACACTCTGGGCTGCTGCTCCTTTTGTTTTGTTTTCAATTATCCTTTGATTCATCTTCATCCCTTTAAAACACAGAAATAGTAGTAAAAATCAACAAATTCATCAAAGGCATCTAAAACCTCACATTTTGTGGTGGTGTGTTTTTAATAAGATTGAGATTTGTTGCACAAATGCTTTGTTCTGTTTTCCCCTTTTGATGCTGGTTTCTTCCAAGTTGTACCCTCCTCCCTACTGCCATCAGTCATTGTACCCCAGCTCCTTTTTCCAGTGCCTTCCATGTCAGTCATTGTGACCCTACCTCTTTATCCAGATCCCTCCCTGTCAGTCTTACTTAGCACCAACCCTTTGTTCTAGAATCCTCCCTGTCAATCATATTGTATTTGACGTTGCATTGGATTTTGTTAACTATTCCTGCCCCCAAGCTTTCCCATTGGTTTATGTATTTTAAGCTCTGCCTTAAACTCCTCCCCTAAGGCTTCCCTATTGGTTCATGATATGTATCCTCCCCATACTCCTCCCCCCTTTATAAGATGTTGCATAGCATACAACTTCTGTCTTTTGTCTCTGCCTCCTTTGGAGGATACACTCATCTTCAAAACCCATACAAAAGATCTCCCCTCATTCTTGCTTCCACACTGCGCCTGACCAGCCAAAAGTGCCGTAGAGCTTTGCTCTAAGCCGCACCTCAGGTCATCCTGCTCCTGAGGTGTGTCCCACTCCCGACGTGGGGCAGAGGGAGAGCTAGCTGGCTCCAGCACCGCATCAACATTTTACTAGTGCTACAAAGGAATCTGGGAGATACTTGGGAGTTTTTGGGGGTTGTGGGGGTATTTGGTGTAGTTGTTTCCATTTCTTGGCACTCAGAGACAAGAGGGTTTGATCTGTCACCTCAAAACCACTCAATGCCGCTGAATCCTACTCAGTCCCTACTCAGTAATCAAAAATTATTTGATTCCACAGCCCCTCAGGGTGTGATGCCTGAAGTTTTAGCTTTCATATTTTTCATATTTTGCGCTACCTGAGTTTGTAGTTTGGAACTTCCTGTTAAGTGTTAGTGAGCTCTCTTCACAGAGTAGGTAGTCAAAACAATTCCTTTTCTACTTGATACCAAGTAGAAAACTTGATACCAAGTTTCAGGCCCAAAAGCATGAACAAGGGTGGACTGAAGAGAGAAAACAAGAAGGATGGGACTTCATCATCTGAAGCTGTCTTTGGATAATGAACAGATTGTAATATACAGATGGACCTAAACTTCTAAAAATGTGAGACCTTGAGTGAGTTGTCCATTTTTGTGACCATTTTTGGTCCATCTTGGGTGTAGCCCTGGCCAGGTTCTTGTACTGCCCAAGGTGTATCCTTTAAGGCCTTTTAATAAGCTTTATTCTTAACTCTGTCCAGCCTCTGTTCTAGGTCAGCCTTCCTCAAGGCATCAGGTGGAATGGGGTTGGAAGGGGACTGGGTGAAGTGGGATGCAGATCAGGGGAGGTGAGATGGGCATTGGGTGAGGCAGGATAGATGTGATGGAGTTTGGGAGGTGTGAAATGCAGGAAATAGGGCTTGGGAAGGGGATCTTGATATCCAGCAGGGATGGAATGGGCTGAGGTTGGGACTGGGGAGGTGGGGTGGGGTCTGGAGTGAGACAGCCGAAGTTTGGGGGTGATGAATGGAGGGGGTGCCTGTTACTGAGTGAGGTTTTGTGTGAGGTGCCTCTGCCCAGGGAGGCAAGGACTGATTTTCAAATGAACATTGTTAAAGTGAGTGGCATGGGCAAAACAGAATTCCATCCCTCTGCCTCAGAGGATGGACGCTGTGAGCCCAGGAAGAAACCACCCTGGACCCCTCGTGGGGTGGCAGCCCAGGGATTTCTGATTGGGTTTGGGCCCCAGGGGTTTCTCTCTTGCTGTGTTCCCAGTGGTCTCTGACCTTGAACTCCACTCTGGTTCTCAAAACCATCTCCCTGCCTCTGTTTGGGGCTGTCTCTGGATCTCAGTTTGTTCCTGAGCTGAATAAATGGTTTCCTGAGCAGAATCCCATCTTGTTGGTGTCCCAAGCCCATTCCAAGTAACTGTGGCCTCCCTGGACATGATCCTGAGGCCCCGAAATGCAAGACCCTGCAAAACTGAGACACCCC